AGAAATGTGCACCATTCGAATATATTGTGGAGAAATGTTGTTGGGATCGTGACTTACATGGATATGTTTCGAATCATTGTGTGGATAATTGACAAAATGCAGAAAAAGTGGCATATGCGAAACCTTGAACAAAAATCTGGCATGACGAAGGCCTCCGGACTGGGTGGTCCACCATGATTAAGGCCTCCAGGCTGGGTGGTTGAAGAAGACAAACCCACCATGACTAAGGCCTCCGGGCTGGGTGGTTGAAGAAGACAAACCCACCATGACCAAGGCCTCCGGGCTGGGTGGTCGAAGAAGACAAACCCACCATGACTAAGGCCTCCGGGCTGAGTGGTTGAAGAAGACAAACCCACCATGACTAAGGCCTCCGGGCTGGGTGGTTGAAGAAGACAAACCCACCATGACTAAGGCCTCCGGGCTGGGTGGTTGAAGAAGACAAATCCACCATAACTAAGGCCTCCGAGCTGGGTGGTCCACCATTATTAAAACCCATCGAGCGAAGATGGTCGTATGTTTCGACCACCCCTCCGGGGGTGAGCATGCGTTCGAGGAAAAACCCATCGAGCGAAGATGGTCATATGTGTTGACCACCCCTCCGAGGGTGGACAAGCATTCGAACCTAGATAATCGATTGTTATCGTATTTTGTTGTGCTCGATGTATTTCTATTCAAACCTCAGAAGTGGGTCGAGTATATTCATTACTGCTCGAGCATGTTGATTCTTGCTTGATTTTGCTGAAATTGTTCTTCGACCTCAGTGGAAGGTCGAGTATATTCATTATTGCTTGAGCAGGTTGATGATTTGAATTTGAACTTGATTTTGTCGAAATTCCTTTTCGACCTCGGTGGAAGGTCGAGTGTATTCATTATTGATTGAGTAGGTTGGTGGTTGATTTATTTTTCGAAGGAATATACAACATGCTTGAATTTTAAACTTTGAATTGAGGGGACGATAGGACGAGGTGGTATAAGGAAACTCGAACATGGTGATCGAAACACAACAGACGTAAATTCAAACTTTCAAATTCAAGACTTCGGTCAGCGGTCTCGACTCTCGGTTCTCGACCTCAACGGTCTCAACTCTCGGTTTTCGACCTCAACGGTCTCAACTCTCGATTTTCGACCTCAACGGTCT